AGTCTTGACAAATCCTCCACCCAGTTATTTTTTTGGTGGCTATTAACTCTTGTTTGTCATTTTCAACTACAGTAATGCCACCCTTTTTTGGAACGCATTGCACAGGAGCAACCCATTTACTATCTGAGATGGGATAGATTATACCTGCATCAAGACATTTGATGATTTCTTTTCTTACCACCTCCTTCATATTGGGATTCAGCCTCCTTTGATTCTCCACAGATGAGCTGTCAGGGTCTTGGAGCAAAATCTTGTGCATGCAAATTGTTGGGCTAATTCCTTTTATGTCAGCCATGGTCCAGCCGATTGCTCCTTTGTAATCTTTGAGCTTTTGTGTGAGTTGAAGTTCCTATTCATGGGTTAGCAAAGAAGAAATAATCACAGGAAGAGTGTTGTCTTTACCCAAATAAGTATATTTCAGGTGTTCAGGTAAGGGTTTTAACTCCAAGGTAGGTGGTTGCTCTACTGAAGGCAATTTCGGTCTTTGCTCCTGCTCTGATCGGTTTAAGGATTCAAAGACCCTTTCTTTCCTTCCCTGGGGTTGGTGGAAACTGATGGATGCAAGGTATTCTTCCAGCTCTTCAAAGTCCTTAATGCCTATCTCTGGCTGCAAATGCTCCTGCTGTTCTTCTCTTATGACCGAGTCAAGGATCGAAATGCTAGAGCATTCCTCAGTGTTATCTTCATCAAACCTTATTGCTTTCATGACATTAAACTTCACTTCTTCTTCGTTTACACTCATAGAAAGTTCACCCTTTCTGACATTTATGATAGCATCACTGGTAGCCAGAAATGGTCTGCCCAGAATTATTGGAACTTCTTGATCTGCTTCAAAATCTAAGATGATGAAGTCAACTGGTAGAATGAACTTGTCTACTTGGACAAGGACATTCTCAATTTTTCCTTCTGGCTTGGCTATAGATCGGTCTGCAAGTTGAAGAGTGACTGTGGTTGGTCTTGCTGCTCCTATGTCAAGCTGCTTGAAGATGGAAGCTGGCATTAGATTTACACTTGAGCCCAGATCACAAAGTGCCCGACCAAGATAGTTCTTCCCAACTGTACACGGGATGGTAAATATACCAGGATCCTTTAGTTTGGGAGGAATTTTAGTCAGGTACTTGCACGATTGTTGAGTAAGGGCTACGGTCTCAAACTCTTCGATCTTTCTTCTTTTTGACAAAATGTCCTTCATAAATTTTGCATATGAAGGCATTTGCTCCAGAGCTTCTACTAGAGGGATATTTATGTGAAGTTGTTTCATCAAGTCAAGAAACTGGCTAAACTGTTTAACCTCGTGTTTCTTTTTCAACCTCTGCGGAAAAGGAGGCTCGATCGGTTCACTCTTTCTCTTGCATGGGGGAACATAAGTTGGAACTGAAACTGGTTCACTGACTTTTGTTGCCCCAAGGTCTGCTACAGGTGTTGCGTCATCCGGTTTGATTTTAGCAGACTCATTGCTTTGGACCTTCTCTTCTGATCCTGTCTGAGCTTCAAGGTGTGAAGGGTCAGTGGCTTCTTCAACTTCCTTTCCTATGGGCTGTTTTGCTGGTTCGCGCTTTCGAGGTCGTGCCACTAAGTCTGGGGGTGGTAAGGTATTTCCATCTCGTAGGCTTATAGCATTACAATGCTCCTGGTTATCTTGAGACGGCTTTTCTGTGTCACTAGGGAGTGTCCCTGGTTGCCTCTGTTTGAGTGCTCCAGCCAGCTGACCAATTTGGGTTTCTAGGTTTCGCATGGCTGCGCTGTTCTGATTCATGTACTCCTTGACAGAAGTCTCAAAGGATTGGGACTTCCCTTCACCCTTATCCCAGTTTTGTTGGTTCTACCTGGGATACGGGGGTCGGTTCTGGTAGTTTCCTCCACTACCTCCGACATTATTCTGATTCCTCCAGCTTCGGTTATTGTTCCCTTGATGGTTGTCATTGCTCCTGTTGTTGTTGTCATACCCTCCTGCATAGCACACAGCAGCTAGATTGTTACAGTCCTCATATTCATGAGGACCTCCACAAGTGGGGCAACTCTGACTTGATTGAGTCAAAAGAAGTTGCTCAGTTGCTTTTTTCTATTCCATGGGCTTCCAATTTTTTATAGTGTTCTGGAGCGAAGCCATTTGTGCAGAAAGAGCATCAGCTGAGCTTAGCTCAAGAACTCCTGCTTTCTTAGGAGCACTGTGTCGTGTGGAAGGTCATGAAATATGTTTTTTTGAAAGTTTTTCCAACAACTGGTAGGTTTCTGGATAAGTAAAATCCAAAAGATCTCCCCCTGCGGCTGCATCAACAGTTGCTTTCAATGGTGGGGTTAAACCATGATAAAACGTGTGAATGATGCCCCAATCAGAAACTCCATGATTCGGGCAGATTCGTATCAACTCTTTAAAGCGTTCCCACGCTTCATACAGACTTTCTCCATCATACATTTGAAAAGAAGCTATATCAGCCCTCACTTGGGCTTGTTTTGCTTGGGGAAAAAATCGGGTAACAAACTATTCCGCCAATTGCTCCCAACTGGTGATGGAGTTTGGGGGCAATGTTCTCCTCCATTCTTTGGCTTTTCCAGCTAAGGAAAATGGAAAAAGCCGCATCCGCATGTTTTCTTCCGAAATACCATGAACTTTGAAATTGTCAACTATCTCAGTGAAATTGTCCAAATGACTGTGAGGGTCTTCCATGGGTAGTCCATGGAACTGACCAGCGTTCATAATCATTTGGAACATTGCAGGTTTTATTTCAAAGTTCGGGATATTCAAAGGAGGGGGAACATAGCCTCGTTCTGGACTATTTCTGAAGGGAGCAGCCATATCATTCAACGATGGCCCTCTTCCTCCATTCGGTCCTTGTTCAGGCTCATGATTATGATTTCCATTGTTATCATTGTTTACAACCTCCTCCATTGTAATGTTTTTCAACCTTTGAACTCTTCTCTATTTCTGAAGGTTCTCTCGGGTTCTGGATCAAAAAGTACTATTTCCAGTCCAAGTTCTGTAGGTTCTGTGCTCATACAAATGGAGGAGGTCTATTAAAGCAAAAAGACTGCGATTAAACAACAAAAAATGTTTCCTTAAAAACGCCCTTTCTTGCCAAATGATCCCCGGCAACGGCGCCAATTGCTTGGTCGAACCGAGAGCTGCTCGGGAATATTTCTTTCAGAGAGCAAGAGTGTAGAGTAGTAATTAGGATTGCCAACAGAGCAATCTACTCTGACTAAGAACAACCCTCTTCAACTATACGCAAGCGTACGTATCAAGCAATATAGGGTATTGTAGCCCCAGATTTATTGTCCTCAGGGAGCAGTTGTGAAGTAAGAAGCGCTAAAGGAAACTTAATTTGTAAAATGGAGCAATAAAAGAAATTATTATTCTCAGCTAAGCTTCACAAAGAGCAATCTCTGGGCAGCTAGTTAAACAATGTTAACCATTCTGAACCAGATGAGAGTAGTGAATGACTTAGCACGGTCATCGAATAAAAAGGCATCAATTGAAGTAACTTTAAGAGCAGTCAACGAAATGAAAGTAAGAGCATCAGCTGGTAAACACAGTTCAGTTATCGTGAAGAAAAAGTTGTGATAGAAGTTGAGTTAAGATTAATTTCAGAAAGAAAAAGATCAAGTAGGTGTTACGGGTTCTATGTTTTCATCCCTTTGGTTAACCCTGCTTGGTAGCATATTTTACAAGTGGATTTTGCTCCTTCCCTTGTTTTGCTATAGGTAAGCAGAGGGTAAGGCCTTACTCTCCACGTTACTCCATAGTACTTGGAGTTATATGCAAGGAAACCATGCTGCCTTCTCAAAAGAGCATGGATTCACATGGCAGTGCTCCCCATTCCAGGTGTTTCTCCCTCCTTTCTTCAGGCTAAACTACCCCAGGATTTTGAGAATGCTCCACACGCCTTTGTCAGTGTTTCATCAACCGAGTGGTCCCGGGATGAAGTTGCCAGCCCAAAGGGTTTCACAAAATCAATAAATTAAACCAATGAGCAACTCAAAATTCATTTATAAAATATGTGTTCCTTACAAAGCTATCCTAAGACAAAAGGGATTACTTCTATGGAACCCTCACCTACTTAGAGGAAGTTAGCTCCTAGTGAGCATTTTTACAAAAAAAAGAAAACAAAGAGACAACGAGTCTTAGGATGGGTGCTGATGATCCCCTTTATGAGGATTGCTTGTTCCTTTTATAGGGTTCTTCATTTGATCTCCATTGTTCCTTTCATCTAGGGTCGTGCTTTGTCTAAATCCTCTCCAATGGTAGCTTTGCTTCTTGCCAACTTGGCCTTAAATGGAAGTGGTCCCCCTTGCTTTTGGCTCCCTTTGTGAGTAGGAGTATCGGATTCAGGGAGGCACCTCCATTCCTTCTGCTGTAACTGACGTGGCGGCTCCCCATAGCTCAGCTTCTTTGCTTTCGTACTGTAGCAGAGGCAGCACCTCCACCTTCTCTGCTGTAGCTGACGTGGCGGCTCCCCATTGCTTCCTTTGACTGCTGTTGTACTATAGCAGACTTCTTTTTCCTTTCTGCGCAACACTCCTTCTTCTCTCTTCATTTTGTGGTTCCTTTTGATGGGCCTTAGGTGTCCTGAACAAAGCAAACTAACCCAATAGTCATATGTGAAAAAGATAATGTTAAATTTGCTCCAGGTCTACCTTAATTCTTACAGTTAACGGCGGTGGAAGGCTGGGATTTTGCCGAATTTTTCCTTCTGCAGTGATTGGCAGCCTTACTTTGCTCTTGGGACTTTGTAGGAAGGGAAAATAGCCTTAACAATGGCTGGAGGTTGAGTTTTCCGGCGATGTGGCTCAAGGCAAGCATTTTAGTATTCTACTCGAGCAGTTCTGGTATTCTTCAGATCTTTTTTGACTTCGAATAATTTTACAAACAAATAAAAAATAATAACAGTGGAAATCAAGCATGCTCAGACATTGCATCATTGAGCAACAAATTGTTGATGACCCAAAACTATGTTTTACAATAACCAGAATGTCTTATTACCAAGGGGGGGCATGCCTTGATGGTGACTTATATGAGCACAGGGAGAAAGTCATCAGCCCCAGCTGGCACATGCTCGGATATTGCAGTGTTGAGCAATAGATTGTTGATGACCCTGCAGCAATTCATAATGCTCAAGAGTTTGTCATGGGGAGCTTTGAAACCATTGATTTTCTGCAATTCTTTCTCTGCAAGCTGCATGGAAAAGGAAAATGGTGTCAACAGTCATCATACTCATCAAGAAATTTCGGTATACTTCCTATAAATAGATCATATTAGTAGAAAAGCCGATGGTCTTTCATCTAAACTTTTTTAAATCCCTTTTTTAAATTTTGAAATTCCTCTATGTCCATTTGTAATTTAGATATGGTGCTTGTTCATATAGTAAACCACCAGTTTCTCCTAACCGGGCTGCAGATCCCCTTAAACCTCATCATATCAATGTTAAAGTTTAATAATATATAAGGCAAGTGAAATAAAGTTTATTTTCCAAGGCCTAGGTGAAAATTTTCTTAGACATTTCTTTTAGTTTTGTGCTATTGTTCACAAGATAAAATTATCCCTGGAAACTCTTTTTTCAGGCTTTAAAATGCCAATAAATTAATAATTTTCTACGTCTTGTATTGATTATTCAATGAGTAAGACAAAGCCTATCCAATGTAATAACACGCTAGAAATACAACACATGCCATCGGAAAGGAACAGTTAAAATATAATCAAGCATCCTGATGAGGCATACCAGCCATGAAGCTTCATTATGAAGAATTGCTGGTATATCCAAATGTTCAGGCTTCAGAAAGGTTTGGAGCAAGCATATTTTCTCTGAGATTTCATGGTCAATCTTTGCATCCTCAGGAGAAGCAGAGAATGTCCGGGAGAACAATTTAGCCATTATATATTGGGTATTATAGTTCTCTAAACCCTGCAGATAATACATGGTAGTTAGATAAATATGCCAAATCAAAGGAATAAACTATTTCCTTATCAAACCCACTATTGAAAACTAATGAATCCCTATCCTTCTCATAAAGCTAGCATACGTTGATATAAACAAACATATTAATTTAGACCACTTAAAATCCTTAAAATTTCCTAACTAATTTAATTATATCATCTAACTAAAGTTTATACCAAGTTTTTGCCTAATTGCAAATTGATCCCTAAACTTTCACAAAATTAAACTTTAACCACTAAACCTATCAAATATTAATTTAAGGGTCCTAGTTGACTTGCTTGACATGAATGACGTTCCCATAATTTTTATCATGTTAATCGGATGATTAACAGATCAAATATTACTTCAGAAACCAACTTATCTTAAAACTTACATATCTTGACTATATAATTCTTTAATTTCCTAAACTTATGTTATCATATTCATAATTATCATACTTAATCAAATCTTAGGGGCATGTGTTGTCATACATATGCACACGCACACACACATACACATATATAATATATTTGTTTAAATATATCATATAAGCATTTGTTTCACAGTAAAAAAATATTTTATTTTATTTTATTTAAATTAAATTTATTAGATGATACGCATTTCAATCTCGTGTTCTTATATTTTTATTGTAAAAATAAATTTAAATCAAACATTATTTTATTTATTTATTTTGTTTGATATTGTTATAATATTTTTAAAATTTAAAATAAATAATTTATTTAACTAACACGTCTTTAATTTATCTTCAATAATATTGTTAATTTTAAATATTTTGTTTATATACACAAATAAATTTAAGATGATTTTTAAAATAATTTCAAAATAAATAATTTAAGTATTTTTTAAATTTAATCATTAGTAAATATTTTTTTTAAAATTTATTTGATAATAGCATAAATATATAAAATAAAATTTAAAAAAAATAATAGCATAAGTGATATTTTTTTATTACCACGATGGGGTGTAAGCTATGATGCACCGATACCGACACGGGACACGACACGATACGCCGACACGTTAATTCTAAAAAATGTCATATTTCGACACGTGGGGATACGTTTTGATATTAAATAAATGTTTTAATATATCATATAATTTATATTTAATACATATAGCAGTCTGTAATAAGTCATATAACCAATCAAATATTCAAATTTCATAACATAAATATAAACAAAAATAATTTTTCGTACTTTGTTAATTTTTTATATCAAATTTCATAACAAAAATAAATTGATTTATAAATTATTTTTTTTATATTTAGTTAATAAAATAAAATTAAGACTAAAAAAAATGTGTCAGAACGTTGACTGTGTGTCGAAAAATGTTGACTGCCCGTCAGAAAAACGTGTCGAAACGTGTTTGAGAGTTGATTGTGTGTCCCAAAATGTTGACCGCGTATCGGACGCTTGTCGAAGCGTGTCGGTGTCTGACACGCAAATTTTTTAAAAAAATGTGTCTGTGCTTCTGAGGGTGTAAGTGAATATTTGAAATTACAAGGAGTTAAATGATAAACTTATTTAATCACAATGCGTATGAATAATAAGTTTGAGACCATAGGGGGTTAAGTGATACACCATTAAACTACAAGAGGTGAAAATAATGTTTTCCCTAAATATAACTGCCGATTGTTTTAATTATGATTGTATAAAATGATATTACATTATTTAATGATCTTTAATTACAATGGTAGCCCTACACTCATGTGACAACACATTAAAACAATAATTAAAAAAGAAAAAAAACTGAACCGCTATTGGAACCTTATATATATGGGAAAAGTGTGTATCATTTTAAAGGATGTAAAGTTGTGTCATTTTAAGTGAGAGAAAGAGATAGATAAAGGAGGAGAGAGAGTAGACAAAAAATAATAAAGGTGTGAGTCCCACCTCTTTGTGAGAGTGAAAGGATATAAGTTATGTTATTTAAAAGGACAAATATTTTTCCCTATATATATTGGAAACAAACACACATAACACTAAAGCCACTTTTCTCTTGCATCAAATCCTCGTTCTTTTTCTTTGGCAAAGATATGTCTCCCATATTGAACACAAACTTTGAAAGGGGGAGAAGAAACAGGGGTTTCGGTGGGGTTACAATTGGGAACAAAAAGATGATAAGGGATTAGATTAATACATCATTCCCTTATCCCACCCCCAAGACATGATAGATTTATATATCTTTTTAGGGCCTGTTTGGAGCACCTGATAAAGAAGATACGATAGGATAACTTATCATATCCTACTTTTATCTCTTGTTTGGTGGGTCAATAAGATATGATTAGCTTATCCTATTGTCTAATTTTATCCTATCCAATACATGATTTCTTATCCTATGGGGAAAGTAGGGTTAGGATTCAATAGGATATGATACCAATATTGGATACTCAATATTTCCCTACGCAACCCAATATATCCCCACGTTACCCAATATATTTGTATTTATTGCATTATATTTTCTCTTTCTTTCTTTTTTTCTCCTTCTACATAATCTTATCAGATTGCTAATCAGATGCTCATCAAACACAGGACATGATATCGGCTTATCAGCCCCATATCATATCCTACCCTTATCAGCCTTATATCGTATCCTACCCTTATCCTATCCTATCCACCAAACGAGCCCTTAATGTATTAAGAGGAAAGAGGTTATAGTTACTACCTCTTATTTTCTTACTACCTGTTACTACTTAATCGTAACCGTTGATTTCCGTCAATCAAACGGTTATAATTTGTTGGGTCATACTTATTAATTAATTATTAATTTCTAATAAATTATAATCGTTAGATTGACGAAAATCAACGGTTACGATTTAGTAGTAACAAGTAGTAAAAAAAAGAGGTAGTAACTATAACCTTCCCCTATTAAGAGATCCTGATGTACAAGTTGATACTATACAATGGTCACACCAAATAACTGAAAATTTTATAATGTATAGTATAAGCTTATACTATCAGGCCTTATATATTACACCAAACATACCCTAAAAAAAGTAATTAAAAAAATAAAGAAGAAAAACATTTCTCAAGCAGCTTGAGATAAGTTTATCTCCGGCTACCCCAAAACTACGTTGTTTTATTTATATATTTTCTTATATTAATTGATTCACCTTTGAATGGTTATGATTCTCTTTTTCTCTCTCTCTTCCTTTATCACCATTGATCCATCTTTGTACGGTTATGGTTTAGTAGCCAGAGATAAGATTATCTCAAGCAGCTTGAGAAACGATAAGCATATATATGGTAAAAATGTTTGTCCTTTTAAAAGATATATAATCGTGTCATTTTAAGTGAGAGAAATACACAACCTAGTATTTTTTTATTTAAAATTTAAATTTTTTAAAAAAAATCACTCACTTTCTTTTTCATGATTTCCATTACATTGCTTGTGTCTTTCTCTCACTTAAAATAACACAACTCTATATCAATGACATTGAATCGCAATACGTATCATGTATCGTTTGACCGATTTTTTTAATCGTGAATCGTATCGAATAGTAAGATACAGAAATATAATAAAATAATTTAAAAATATATAATATAATTATTATAATATAAATCCAAATTCCAAAAAGAATCCAATAGACAATAAGCAAAATACACAAGTAATTAAAGTGCAAACCAATTAACTACAAAAAAAAAAAAGCAAATCAATTATTCTCATAATCATCAATTAAGACTAATATTATCGCTAGTATCACTATCAGTAGGGGAGAAACTGGACCGGCCCGGCCTACAGGGGTCTGTGGCTCGGCCTACGTCAGGCCAGACCTGACCTAGTATATTTCGTAAAATAGGTCGTACTTGGGCCTTGAAAAAGCTTGTGTAATAAAAAGGCCGTAGGCCTACTTTCACAAGGTCTGGCCTATAAGCCTACAGGCCGGCTTATGCAGTACTTTTTATTTTAAATAAAATAAAATAGAATAAGTATTCCTTAAAGAAAAAATAAAAATTATGAATTAATCAATTGCAATTATTTAAAACTTAATTATATTCGATTATATTTTAATAGAAATCTGACTTTATTTTTTATGTAGAATGAACCAACATCTCAGCATGTTAGATTGTGTATATGAATATATGGCAAAAAAATTTAATTATTATATTTTAATTAAATAATTACACATTTATTATTATTTGAGAAATAATTACAGATGTATTGTACACTGTGACGTCTTTTTTGGGCGTCACATGTGACGCCCACATTCAAGCGTCACACCTTAAGGAGAGACGTCTCAATGAGGCGTCACATCTGACGCCCAAAAGAGGGCGTCACATGTTCTTATTACCCAGCTTTTATTGCGATTCAAATAGTTATTCATCACCTATAGAAATGCATGAACCGTCCAGGAACCTCGGCATTTGTGATAAAGGTAGCAAGTAGCAAGAATCCACTCAAATCCAGGAACCAAAAATAATAATCTCACCGTCCATCACCTCGGCATTTGTGATAAATACTTCCTTATCCACTATTAGTTTATAAAACTGTGTTTATAATCCTTATACAGGGATTAAATTTTATTATTTTATAATAGAAATTAAGAATATCCTGCACTCCTTCATGAAAGTTTTTTCTAATTATTATTTTAAATATATACATTGTTTTCGTAATTTGGACACGGAAGTTATGTTGCATTGATATTGATATAATAGACACTCTGATACATTAAATAATGTTTTGACACGTTTCTATTAAGATTTTGACATGTTTTGATATTAAATAATATTTTTAATTTATGGAATATATATTATATTTAGAGTAAAGTCTCTTTTGAGTCCCTAACAAAAAGTACGGTTTCCACTTTTGTTCTTTACAAAAAAAGTCCATATTAATCTTTTTTTAGAGATTAAATTGGATCTTCGTTGAATTCTTAAGTGATTATATTTTCAAAGAACTGAAATTGTAGATGGGCCAAAAGTTGATTTTTTATTTTAAATTT